CTTGTGGAGGTGGGTTGGTAGCCGTCTCAGGAGGGGAGGGAGGAGGCAGCGAGGAGGAAGGGGCAGCTCGCTTCGGCCTTCAAGGAGGCTGCGGCCCAGGCGCCCGGGCGTTCCGAGAGCAAGCCACATCTGCCGTGGCCCAGCAACAGGAGCTCAAAGCACGTCATGCTGCCAAGAAGCGCCGCACTGATGAGGCTGTGTGTCTGGGGGTGAAGGTGCGCCCAGTGTTGGCGCTGACCCCGGGGCCCCCTCTGAGCCAGTTGCAGCGGCAGCAGCAGCAGCAGCAGCCCGAGCCCCAGCAGCCCCACCAGCCTCAGCAGCGGCGGGCCCCCCTCCCTCTGCCCCCGACCCAGGGGCCGCCAAGTCCACTGAGGGGCTCTTTCGGGCGGCCTGCGCCTTCGCCTCGAAGGGCGCAGGCAAGGCCGGGGGCAAGAGGGCAGGGGGGGCAGAGGAGGCAGGAGGAGGCGGCGCCACGGCAGCGGCAGCTGCAGCAGCAGGAGCGAGGTCCGCGGGCGGAGGGGCCGCTCAAGGTCCCCAGCAGCGGCGTTGACCGCGCCGCGGGAGGCGGGAGGCCCGCGGCCGCCGCGGCAGCAGATGGGCTCGAGAAGGATGGGATTGTGACCGCGCTGACAGCGAACACCAACGACTGGTGCAATTGTCAGAAGTTGTTTGAGAGGGAGGCCGCAGGCGCGGCCGCTGTCCTTGTTCAGGATACAGGAGTGAGCCCCCCCGCCAAGGACGAGTGCGAGGCTAAACTGAGACGTTGGGCATGGTCGACCAAACTTAGTCCTAGTGAACCCACTGAGGCGGGGGGGGGCTGTCTTCTGGAGTTGGGAATCGCCGTGCCCAAGCACGTGGGTATGTCTCAGGCGCCGCGACAAGGGCCCCACCTGCCCTCGGCGCCGCGGGCCACGATGACTTGGGCCAGCAGCAGTGTACCAGGAGGTTGTTTGGCGATTTCGATTTATCTCCCGGCTGGCGACCCACTCGGGGATATTGGATCGCAGCTTCTGTTCTGCCTGGGGCAAGTGCTTCAGGCCCTCGTTTGCCGTGCATCATCGGAGGAGACTGGAACTGGGAGGCCATATTGCATCGCCAGGAGAGGCCACATGCAGAAAGGGAGAGACTTGGAGGGGGCTGGATTATTTCGTTGTGTCCTCGGGGCCGGCGCCGTCCATTGTCTCGGTCGGAGTGGCCCATGACACCGCCATCACCCCGCGCTACCCTGTCGCGCTCAAGTTGAAGCCTCGCAGGGTCCGAACTGCGCACCCCGTGCTGCCAGATGTCCCAGGGGGTTCCCCCTTGGAGGTCCCTGCTCGCCCTCTGCCTGGGCCGCCAGACTGGGGCCCCGTGAGGACATGATCCTACGGTGGGGGGGGGGGCAGAGCCAGGGAGCAGTGGGCAGCAGGAGATGGCAAGAGTGAGCGGCATGTTCTCTGATCTCGTAGAGACGGAGTTGGTTGCAGCTCACGGCCTGCAGGGGACCGATGAATGCAGGTATCGAGGTCGAGGCAGAGGCTGAAAGTTGGAGACGGTGCCAGAACTCCAGACCAGTGGAGGGCCGCATGCACTGTCTCTTGCGTCAAGGCTAGAGGATGGAGGAAGGTTTCGATCAGGTTCCTGGGGATTGCTTTGCATGGGATTGACCTCCAGGATCGCGTTCAGCATGCCACCCGATGAAGACCCTTGTTTCTGGACAAGATAATGCCCCACCTGCGAGGGCATCATGGCCTTGTCTGTTGACCAGGTGGAGGCCTGCTCGAGCGAGGCCGCCTGCATTGCATCGCTACCAGGGCAAGCGTTCACCAGTGCCCGTGGCTCGGCGTGGAGGAAATGAGTGTCGGATGCTTGTGACAAGGGGGCAAGAAAAAGGCTCACTGCTTCACGAAGACTCCCGTTGGTTGGCGCCCCTCGGCCGCAGGCCCCGATGGGGGCCCCGCTGGGGTTAGAAGCTCAGGTGGGCGCCTTGCAGCAGAAGCGGGGCCAGATTTGGAGTGCGCCCGCCGCAGCAGAGGACGCTTCCTGCTGCGAGAGTTCGTCGGCCTCTGATGGCCCTGCTACGTCTATTGCAGTGATGCTGAGAGGCGAAGGTATCGACCCACAGGAGGCTGCTAGCATCCCGCCCTTCGATGGTTCAACGATTCGCAGGGCCGCCAGATCGTTCAAGGAGCACGCGGCTGCGGGGGTCGACAGGTTGAGTCCACGTGATCGTTGTTGGCTCTCGGACCGCGGTCTCACCATCCTTGGGCTCTTGTGGCATTGGATGCCCGACGCGGGCCGCGCCCCCCCTCCCAGGCCTCCCTCGCCATGATCGCTGTGTTGGAAAAACCCGGCTACGTTCATGAGGGCGTGGTTTCGCGCTGCTCGGTCGGGCGTTAGCGATTGGGAGTTGCCGCATAAGAGAGACCATCTGCATGGATGCTCGGGCATGTCTTGTGAATGTGGGGTCTGGGACCAGGCCTGCACTGCAGAGCTGGCTCGGGCTACGGGCACATGCTCGGGGGAAGGCCCGATTAATCTTTCAAAGGCCTACGGACGCGCGATGCATGGCAGACTGATTGACGCAGCCAAGGCTTGGAATTTCCGCTTCGATTTCTTCAGGCGTTTGATCTGTCTACACAGGTGCCCTCGTCTGCTCGTGGTGGGCCAAGTCACTTCCTCCCCTTGTATCGTGTTCCAGACGATTGTTGCTGGGTTTGGGTTTGCTACGACTTTGCTTCAACTGCTGCTGATGACGCGACGCTTGAGAGTGTGGTGCACAGATTTCCGCATGCACGAATGTTCAACGTCGTTGATGGCATCACGCTTGGAACCCGTGGCCCTGTTCAGTTCGTGACGGCGCACCTCCCGTCTGTGGTGGGATATGCCTGCAGATTGTTGGAGTCGCTGGACTTGGTCTTAGGCAGGACCAAGAGTAAAATTGTGCCCACGCATCAGTCTGTGGTGGCGAAAACTGTTCGGAGTCTCAAGAAGCGGGGCTTCTTGGGAGCCCCTGTGGCCAGGAATCTCGGCCTCGACTTCTCCCTGGGAAGGTCCCGCAGGAACCCCGCTCAGCGCGCCAGAGCGAGCAGGCTCCGCACGAGGGCTCATCGGTTCCGTGGGCTTCGCTCATCTTTCGCCAAGTTGACCAGAATCGTCCGTGCAGGAGCCAACCCAGCAGGACTGCACGGTGCCTCTGTCGTGGGAGTGTCGCACCGCATCCTCATGCAGTTGCGCGCCTCGGTCGGGGAGTCGATCTTCGGGAAGGCCAAGGGCAGGAGTCGGACCATCGGCTTCATGCGGTCGCCCACGCCCCTGTCCGATCCCACCGTCGATGCCAACTCTGCTCCGCTCGCCTCCTGGGCGGCTGCTGTAATGCATAGGTGGGCCGCCGAGAGGGACATGGTCTTGGTGTTCGAGTCGCATAGAAACGAAGGAGGGACCGCCTGGCAGCAGGTTGATGGGCCCACAGGGGCGATGCTGGCTACGCTTCGCAGGCTTGGCTGGACCCCGCTCCGCTGGGGCTTAGGCAGAATATGGGTTCGATCGTTTGGTCCGAGCTGGTGCACGTGCTGTTTCGGCTGAGTGGCGCCTGTTCTACACTAGAGGCCTCATGGCGCCCCCCATCCGGTTTTCTCCCGGGCCCCTGGTGCAGGAGCCGTGGAGGTGGCATGTTTTCCCGAGGTCTGGCCAGCTGGTCGACGTGATCTGCTTGGACGGCTCGGCTCTTGACCCCGCTCTTACGTGTTGCTCTCGAGCTGGTTGGTCCGCGGTTTCAGTGGCTCCGACTGGCCAGATCCTAGGTGGTATGCACGGCCCTCGTCCGCACCCCCTGCAGACTTGTCTCGGGGGAGAGCTTTGGGCGCTGTACATGGCCCTGGTCAATGCGGACGTGGGGCCTCTTGATGTTTGGACGGATTGCAAGGTGCTGATTGACATGTGGAGCTTTGGCCCAGACCGGGATGCGTCGCGTTTGGCGCTCGCTGAGGTGTGGGGGAAAGTCTTGGCCAAAGCTCGAGATATAGGCTGGAGCCAGATGCAGCGATTTAAGATCAAGTCTCATCTGTCCTGGAGCCAGGCGTCTACCCAGTGGTACCCATTCTACGCGTGGAAAAGGCAACCAGGAGGCCGATCGTCTTGCGAAAGAAGGGACCCTGCTGCAAGAGCAGGCCGATCTGCTCCGCAGTTGGCACAGCTCCAGGATGGAAGGAATTAAGCGGGTAGGTAAGTTTCTTGGGTTTATGTTGGGAGAGCTGTTTCGGGGGGGCTCAAGGATGTCGAGCGCGTCCAGGGCAGAGGCAAGGCTCTGAAGGCCCCCCGAGATGCCCCTCAGCTTGAATTAGTCGCCAATCCCAACGGACACACGATCTGTAGAGAGGGTAAGAGTTTTGTCTGTGAGTGTTGTGGAGGAAGGGGCAGGTCCAGAGGTGCACTGGCGGCCTTCCACTGCCCTGGCATCCCCGCAATTGCTGCGACGGCGCACCCGTCACACGTTCTCTGGATGGGTTCTGGACCTTCGAGGACGGTGGCATGGTGTCGAAGATGCGCGGCTTTCGGGGTGTCCGCTCACGCTACTTGAAAGACAGGTCAATCAGCACCCCCGCAATGAGGGGGCTGAGAAGTCCCTCGCCTTGCTCCTCGCGGGCAAGGACCCCAGCTCGAGGACAGTGTTCGGTCGGAGTATCTTGGTCCAGCGCGGTAGGTAAGGTCTCCGGCGTTGGCCTGGTGCATCGCACTGCCCTCGACCCTATGTTCCTTTTTGCCGCGGGTCCGCACTGCGGGATCCGTGTTGTTGGTGAAACTGGTGAAACAGGTGATGGAGGAGGATGGGGAGGGGGGGGAGGAGGAGGAAGGGAGGAGGGAGGAGGAGGAGGGAGGAGGAGGAGGAGGAGGAGGAGTAGAAAGAGGAGGAGGAGGAGGAGGAGGAGGTGGAGGAGGAGGAGGAGGAGGGGTAGGAGGAGGACGGAGAGGAGGAAGAGGAAGGGGAGGATGAGGAGGAGAAACCTGGGGTCCGCCAGGAGCTGGAGGCTGCCAGCCCCGCGGGGTGCACGATCTCCGAGCTTTCCGACGCGGTGCGGGCCTGCCTGGCCGAGGCCCTGGACGAGGACGACGGCGCCCACGAGGCCCGCCCGCAATCTTCGGGGGCTTGCGGGCCACGGTCCGAAAAAATGAACAGCTGGAACCGGCGAGGGGGATGGCTCGTTTGGTTGGAGGTCGGACGGGGCCAGGACGAGGATAAAGCGTTCCGGGACGTTCGTAGAAGGCCTCGACGCCCGATGCATTCTCCAGAGCCGGCGGATCTCAGAGCTTAGGCGCCGCCGGATTCTCCGCCGCCACTCGATTTGTCCTCACCCGATGTTATCCTCGCCCTGGCTCCGTCTTGGGAGGCAGGAGGCGGTTCGCTGCTGCCGCCCGCGTTGCTGCCGCCGCCGCGTGCGGCTGCCGCCTTCTGCGCTCCTCCTCCTCCTCCTCCTCGTCCTCCTCCTCCTCCTCCTCCTCCTCCTCCTCCTCCTCCTCCTCCTCCTCCTCCGCCCCCTCTCGAGGAGGCCTCCCTCTCTCTCTCTCTCGGTGTGCCGCGGGGGCGCCCGCCGCCGGCGGCACGCGCACGGGCGCCTCGGGCGCTGGCTCCCGCGGCACCGCCTGAGGAAAGTGTGTGGAGCCGCCGGGGGGGCCGAGGCGGCGCAGCACTGTCGCAGGCCCAGAGGTTGACACCAACATTCATGCTGTTCCAACCTTTGCAACCTTTGCAATGCGGCCCAATGTCGCTCCCGCGAGGTGGCCGACGCCTCGGCGGCTTGTGCCGCGGAGGCTGCGGGCTTTGCCGCTCAGGCGGCACAGCACGGCTGCTGCGCCCGCACATGGGGGGGGACCCCCAGGCCTCACGAGGCCAAACCAGCCGCCAGCGGCCGAGACGACGGGCAAGGTCCCGAGGGCCCTCGAAAAGTGCCAGAAAAGAAGGCAAGAGGAACGAGAAGTAGAGGGAGGACGCCTCCAGGGCTCTCAAGAGGGGGGGGGGCTCCAGCAGGAGCCGAAACCAGCGCGGCAAAAACGCGAAGCCCCGACCCCCGAGGAGAGAGAAGGAGACGGCTGCGTGGCCAAAGGAGGAGAGGGGGACGTCACAGCTCCCAGGCCAGGGGGGCAGTGACAGAGGGCCTGGAGCCTGGATGCCGGCCTCATCCTTGACACCGCCACCCCGAACTGGCCTGCAGCAGCTCTCCGTGCCCAGCAGGTCGTCGAGCAGCCGTCTCCGCTCGGGGGGGTGGCGGTATCGCGAGTTAGGCGCACGATGTTGAGTGCACCCCAACCCCGCGAAGCGGGGGAAGGGAAAAAAGAAGGAAACAAGGCGGAGGACGGGCACCAGGACCGAAGGAGAGGGAGGAAGGAGGGGGAGTTTCACTATAACTTAGGGGGCGGCCTGGGTCCTGGATCCTGGCTGGCACCGCCCGCTCACCGCGGGGCGGTTCACGCGAGGAGCTCGACCTCATCCGCCTCCCCTGGAGGGGGTGTCCACGAAGATGCGGCCGACCCTCCTGGTGTCGCTCTCTCCGCGCGAGTGGTGGGCAACCTCTGGCTTCTCCCTGTGGCCTGCGTCAAGGCCTGCGCTATCGGTTGTTGTGGCGCTTCTGGTTGCGCCCACTGGATCGGCGGCTGCTCGTCCAGTATGGGCCGATCCAGGCACGTCGCCGTTGGTGCCAGCGGCACCGCGACGGCCTGCCATCTCTACTACAGCTCGGTGCGCTGGCGCTGCGTAGAGCGGGGGCCCATTCGTCTTCTCCTCCAGGAAGACGGGTGGCTTGTCGTAATGTTGTGGTCGTCGAGGTGGTCGAGGTGCTGCTGTCGTTGTTGGCTGCCGCCGCTGGTCGAGTGCTGCTGTCGTTGTTGTTGGTCGTGTTGTAGGGGCGTTGGTTGCACTGGTAAGGTCTCCATGCATCGACTTCAAGTGGGGTTCTTGGCTGTCCCACCTCGTCCTGCTATGGCTAGGGGTCACAGTGCCCTCGGTGGGGGCGAACCCCAGACATTGTGCTTGCTCCTGCTGTCGGTAGGGGTCGTCTCGGCTGTGCTTTGCTCCGCCGCTAGGGCACTCGGGTAAGCTCCAACTCCGCCATGGGAATGGTGGGGGTGGCGAGCTAGGGCGGACCGCGGGGGCGCGGGTAGTGGCCGTCCTACCCCCCCCCCCTGCCCCTCACCATCCCCCTGGCAGGCGCGGGCAGTACTCGTCCTGCCCCCCCGCCCTTCGAGCCCGTCTCGAAGTTTGATCCTTGCCTCACCAGGACAGCCTCAACATGTTGTTCGTCTTCATTACCATTGTCCGTGTCGGACGTTGCGTCTGCTAAGCATTTGAAACGGTTGTGCAATGGTACTTGTGGAGGTAATTGGGGCTGTGTCGGTTGCATTCGTCGTCTTTGTCGGTCGAGACGTTGCTCGTCTTGTATCTGTCGTGTGGTGGCTTCGTCGAGGTGGTCTTCGTTCTTTGTGTCGTAGCCGCCCTTCTCGTCTTGCATGCCGTTGAGGAACGTATCCTCAATATTGTCAAATTCCCTCCAATGAAGAGCATGTAGTAGCCATTCGGCTGGTGGATCCCAACAATCCGACAACTCCTTTTCAACGTGGCTCGTCGCCTGGTCGTGCTGGTCGGCGTGCTGGCTATCATGCTGGCCGTCGTGCAAGTCGCGGTGGCGGGCGCAGTGGAAAACGTTGTCACGCCGCTGCTGGTCGCTGTCGTGGATGTCGTGGATACCGTGCCGTCTCATGCCTTGGTCGTCGTGGCGCCCAGAGCCGTTGCCTTCACACGCAAGGATGTATGGGTCGAGGTGTGCTGCGTCATGGGTGGTCAGTGGGTCAGGCGGAGTGGTTGCTGGTGTCATACCCCATCGCGCATTCCTCAGTATGTCCAGGGAGTATGAGATGTAGGTCATCATGTTGGTGTGTTCGCCGTCGTAGTCGATGTTGTTGCTCGTCGTCATAACCCTAGTTCGAGTTCCGTTGGAGCCTGTCGTAGTGGTAATGCTGGCGGTGAGGTGACGGCTAATGTGTTGCAGCTGAGGCGTCCTCCAAGCCGTAATTCCACGTGGGTTGGTCGCTTCTGCAGTTGGATGGGCGACAAGCATAGGGATCTGGAAGGTCTGCGAGGCGCTGCATATCTCAGTGATGTCCCCGAGGTCGTCGTTCATGGCCGAGATGAGGTCGTAGTCCTTCTGGCGCATGCTTGGTGTGCCCCCACGGGTGGTTTGTGCGTCTGCGGGATGCGATCTTCAGCTCGTCGGGGTCGTAGTTCTTGACGAACCAGGTGGTTGTCGGGATGCAGGCGTTGATACCAGCGATGGTGCCCTCTGTCATGTTCGCCTTCAGTCTGTTGAGGAGCCGTCTCGTCGTTAGTGAGTCGTGGCCGAGGTGGAGGCTGATGTGGATGTAATCGAGCCCTCGCAAGCTGGAGATGCAATGGGTGATCATGTGTTGGAAGAGGTCTTTGTGCATCCCAGAGCCGTCGTCTATGCATACGATCGCCTGCCGTGACGCAGTATTTGGAATAGGGGGGCGGCCTGGCTGGACTGGTGCGAAGTGGGGCATATACCCTTGGTTGCTGTGGGGAGGTCTCAAGAATGGGAAGTGGCGTGACGTCGCACTTCTGGGCTGGTTGTGCTCCGTAGGCTTCAGGTCGTCCGTCCCGTCGGTTCTTCGCAGTTACTTTCTTGTGATGGTCGCTACTGAAGGAGATCTGCTGGTCGGTCAAGGGCGTACCGTATGCCGTGTGCCATGCGCACCAAGTTGTCGAGCATTGTCTTGATGCTTTCAGGTGTGTGACGAGGCGGGGGTAGGAGTGGAATTCCGTCTGGCAGCATCTGCATGCCGTCCCTGTGGCCCACTTTCGGGGGTCGTCGTGGTGCTTGTGGCCTCTGCCTATGTGGATCGCCATCCCCTGCTTCGTGGCTTTGACGCGCTCGCATATGTAGCAGATGTACTCTGTGGTGGGTGTCTCTGTAGTGGATCTGGTGGTCGCTGATGCCGGCTGGTCGTATCCGATGACGCGGTGTGTTCGGTCGGTCTCGGCGTCTTCGCGTGCATGTCTTGGGAAGGCTTCAGTGGCAGTGCCCACTGCTGAGTTGAATTCCTTAGGTCTCTCCCTCGCCCATTCGATGTGTGGTGATCGCCGTGGCTGGCGGTAGTCCAACGTTCAGGCTTGAGGTGGGTTCGGAGGAAGTTGCAGTCGTTCTTGAGCAACTGCGCCCATTCCCGTTTGACTGTGGCGATGGTGTCGAGGAGTCGTAGCAGAACACGTGGTGCGTGGTTTAGAAGTCGCGGTAAGTATTTGAGTCGTGCGATTGATTGGTGGGTAGTGAAGTCGGGAACGCCAGTGATTGCCGTGACTTCCTTGGTTGTGATGCGGGTGGAGGGGAAGTTGGTCTTCGGTAGTCCCATGGCGACGCGGTACGGTCCTGCGCACTCGGCCGCCATAAACTTCGCGTCCTTCTTCGTCATGTCGTTCCATATGTGGCGGTTGAAAGCGAGGGCCGACGTGGACAAAGCGCGGACGTATTTGATCTGCCCTTTGGCAGGGAGTCCTTTCCTACGTAGAATTTGCCGCTCCAGGGCTGTAACCGTTGTGGCGGATCGGTTGGCTCGAAGTCGGGTCTCGGGCCCCATAGCTGCACCAACCGTAATGGTCGTTCCCAGAGCCTTGTGTTGGTCGGTAATCTTGAGCTGGATGTCGAGGTCAGGAAGGTCGAGGGCGTTGATTCGGTCGGCTGCAAGTCGCTGCCTTTCTTTCCAGGCGCTGGTGCCGTAGACGTTGAGGATGATCTTGGTCTTCTCGGGGTGCGGCTTGAGACTATGGGCGAGGGCGGTCTGGCATAGGTTAGTGGCTGCGATAGTGGTGGCCTCGACCAGGTCTGTTGCGTCTGCTGTGGATGTAAAACTGGTGAGGTCGTCAACGTACGAGAGGTGCCGTAATGCGTCGCCGTCGTGGTGATTGGGCAAGGAGGGATTCGATGTCCGTTGTGATTGCCTTCCTGTGCACTGGCGTTGCGGTCGATCGCATTCAGGAGCAGAGCGAAGTGTTTGTTGAAGTCCACGTCGGAGAAGGGGACGCCTGGTCGGGTTCCAGTAGTCGGAACTTGATAATGGG